GGAATGTGTGAGAAGACCTGTAGTTTAAATACTTTATCACTTGAAGTTTCTCTGCGTAGTTTACGGAAGAACCAAGGGGAAAGCTTGTTCCTGTGTCATGTAGCTCATGAAGCAGTGCAAAACCTTGGCAAAGAAAATCACATAATGCTCATTTGAGGGGAACGGGTTTTGCAGACCAGAAGGAGAAGAAAAATCCAGAACATAATTCCCAGGAAACCCAAATGCTGCTCTGGGACTTCTCTTCTGGGCAGCTCCTCTGCTTTTCCTCCACCTCTGGCAGCACTTTGATAGCTGCCATTGGCTCCTTTATGTTGCCAGGTTCTCATGAGTTCAAAAGGATGAGCGTGAAGCTGAGGTGAGCTAAGAGAGGAGCCATATCCTTCTGCATAGCTAGAAGGTTGGATTGCGCAGAGAGGAAAAGTGCCCAGTGATGTGGTTGTATTTCAGTGCAATAGTATTTTGCTGGTGATGCTGTGGTGGCTGTATTCTCTGTGAGATTTGGCAGCTTTTGGTGTTTTTGTTAAGTATTTATCAATAAGCCCAGTCTGAAGTTGTTGTTTTGTTTTTTTTTTGCTTTTTACCCTCAATTTTCCCCATCTTAAACAGTAGGTTTTTAAGTTACTTCACAACCATGTTTTTATAGAGCATTCCAGGCATAAGGAGTTGGACGTAGTGGACAGCAAAACAACCATTTTGAGCACACTTCCTTTTCGCTACAAAAAGGCACTGAAAGCAATGGCAGGAGGATGCTGGCAAGCCAGAAAGTTGTGGGCAGGTTATTTTGTGCCCTCTGCCCTTTGAGCTCACCAGCCTGTGCTCAGCCAGTGCATCTCAGCCCCTTTGGCTGGAGGAAAAAAGTGAAATACTTTGCTGTCTCAGAATGGCTGCAAAACTGGGCAGGGATCCCCCGCTAAAGGAAACCTGTTTGGGGTGTGGGTTTTTCATGCCAGATCCTGGTTTGCCATTATTGAAACTCCACAACGAGGCGTTTCCTAGCTTTGTCCCTATATTTACAATACCTTTTGACTGAGATGTCTAAGAGCTTTGAACATATGCTTTGAGCAGCAGACAGTTGGGGCTGACATTTGTTACAAATCTTTTTCAGAGGGCCGTGTGGAATTGTCCTAATCCGAGAAGAGCCACTGCCTCCCTGTGTGATCTGACAGACTGACATATCACTTGACCTCGGTCACGGCAGCTGTACACCGAGGTGGAAAAGGCGGCTGATGGACAACCACGGGATGCCTTTCAGCACAGCTTCCTCGGGGTAAACCACGGACAAACGCATGGCTTGGCTTCTTTCTTACTCATCCATGAGTTTTAGATCAAATTCAGATTTTGCATAGCTTTTCTTGGATTTTTTTCTTTAACACAGCGGAAGCGAGGGTGACGCAGTCACCTACCGCAGGTTCTCGGGGGCAGAGCGGCAGCCGGGAGGGCGGCTGTTGTAGGCAGCCGCTCCCGCTCGCTGCCTCGGGATGGGGGGCCGCTCTCCCCGCCGTGGCGCTGCCGAGTCTACAGGGGGCGCGGCGGCTCCGCTGCGGCTGCCGCCGCATGACCAGCCCGGCGCCCTCCCGGCGTCCTCATGTCCCCGTCCGATGCGTTTAGAACTTCGCTGCCTGGGAGGAGCGTGCAGGCACGCGAGGTGCTGCGTCCCCGACCTGAACTGAGGGCATCTCGAATCCGCGGCAGTTTTACCGACTGGTAGCATTTAGAACCTCGCTTTTAGGCGTTGCGTTAGTTTCTCAGCAGTTGTTAGCCATTAAGTTATTGCAGCTGGGCAGATTTTTAATTAAACTGATACTCTTAGTGTTTTGTTTGTTTGTTTTCCTAGAAGATTCTAATCAATACAAACTATAGGCCAATGGCATCCCGGCTTGTGTCAGGAATGGTGTGGTGAGCAGGACTGGGCAAAAGTCATCCTGCCCCTGTACTCGGCACGGGTGAGGTCTCTCCTTGAGTACTGTGTTCAGTTTTGGGCACCTCAGAACAGAAAGGACATGGAGGTGCTGGAGCAGGTCCAAAGAAGGGCAGCAAGGCTTGTGAAGGGCTCGGAGAATACGGCCCATGAGGAGAGACTGAAGGAACTGGGGCTGTTCAGTCTGGGGAAAAGGAGGCTGAGGGGAGACCTTATTGCTCTCTTCCAATATCTGAGAGGTGCTTACAGTGAGAGTAGGGTTGGTTTCTTCTCACTGGTGACAGGACGAGGGGAAATGGCCTCAAGTTGTGCCAGGGTAAGTTTAGGTTGGATGTCAGGAAAAACTTCTGTACAGAAAGGGTTGTGAAGCACTGGAATGGGCTCCCCAGGGAAGTGGTTAAGTCACCATCCCTGGATGTGTTTAAAAAGCATCTGGATGTGGTGCTCAGGGACATGACTTAACGGAGTTGTTAGAGTTAGGATAGTATGGTAAGGTTGTGGTTGGACTCTATGATCTTTAACGTTTTTTCCAACCTGAGCAATTCTATGATTCTATATTTTCACATAATTATCTTACATATAAGTGTAAGACACATCATGCTTGTTGTCTCTGGAAAGGGCAGAGTGTCTGTATTATGATCTTCTGTAAACTTCTTGAGAGGCCTCTGTTGTATCCAGCACAATTATTCCCAACTCTGTGCCTTCTTTTCCTGTATGTTTTCTCTTCATAGCAAACTGAACTGTTACTCTGCAGGACCACTAGGAAATCTCTGGAGACAAAGACTGAGTACCAGACATCTTTCTGATTCACACTTTCATTCCCTGATGACACCCAAGCAAAGCTGGGCTGCTGGGCAATGGAAGCTCTCCCTGCACTATTTTATCCATTAGCTCAGATACAGTTGAGAAGAATTTATACTATGTGAAAGAACACATACAAGTTGTGAGCAACCACGTGGTCTGAATGTTAAGGATTCATCCTGCCTCCTACACGAGGTATTTAAGGTCATGTTTTAATATTTGAAAAACAACTTGTGGTCCTGAACTGTTACATTTTTTAGGACTAAATGTGAACAGGGCTTCAGTGAATAGATGCACTGCTAGTTGAAGATGCTGTAGCAGCTCTGACCCTCCAAATTTTGAAGCTGGGGACTAAATCGGTGTTTCACTGAGCAGCACTTGCACATTTTGAGTGGTAAGGAAAATACAAAGTATATCTGAAAATGCATGATAACAGAGAATTGTTGCAGCTGGAAGGAACATCTGGGGATCATCAAGTCCAACTCTCCTGCTAAAGCTGGTTCCCTACAGTAGGCTGCAACTGTCATCATGGAACAAACCCAAAAGGGCAGATCTGCACTGTGCTTAGTGCTGTGATGTTTGCCTTGCTGAGTGATCAGCAAAGCCAAACTTCTTCTTCTTAAGGGTCTTTGGATCAGTTATTGATATATTCACTAGTGCAAATTGTCTGGCTTTGACAGGAATTTTTAAATAATGTCTTTCTTCACAATGTCTTGCTTTTGCTTGTCTCTCTTTACAGTCTTCTGCATTTTGTCCCTTTGCCCTTAGCCTTCAGCTGATGACTGTTAGAACAAGAGTCACCATCCATTCAAATGCACTTAATCTGTTGTTCTTTCTTGTTTAAAAGCATCTTGTGCTTTAGTGAAGTCTCTAGATCTGCTAGGAAAGGTCTTTTATCAAAAAGGAAAAAAATTGACACTTAAGAGAGCATAATTTTCTTTGTTGATTCATTTTATCACTTTGTCTACCTTTCAATCATTGAGGAGCTGTAAAAATCCAGGTACCCAGCTGAACATAAAAACACCACACCAGTTTTGCACTGGCTTCACTCCTATCCATATACAGAATGCCTTTACATGGAAAAGGCAAACATCCCAGGAGTCTGTAAGAAGTAGGCTGTAGATGTTACAGCTTGAATTCATGGGAGGACTTCCCTGGAGCCTGAACCACATCCCTCCAGCTGAAAGGAGAGCCCAGCCTTCCCTTTCTTAAAGGTTGGTACAATATCTAGCTCCTTTATCTTCTGTGTTTTAAAAACGCCAGGATTGCTGAGAATTTCTAGGCAGTATGGCTCTGTACATCCAAATCATAAACTAATGATAGAATTAAAGAAAACAATGTTAAGCCATGATACGTCTTAAAAAAAACCCCAAAGCAAAAGGTGCTTGAGTGTCTGACCTGCATGTATGAAAGTAGAGGCAGAAACAATGCATAAACTCATGCTTTGTCCCTTGGCAAGGATGAGACTGTAGCATAGTCTTTTGAACTTAGTGAGTTTTGAGCTTAGTGTCCTGCAGAGTGGTCCCATGTGGTTGCTGAATTTAAAATGAGTGGGATTTTTGTTTGTTTGTTTGTTTGTAACAAGAGAGCACTGAAATAAACCCACAATGTTAGAGAAGTGTGATTTTAATAATGTTCAGCAGCATGAGATCTCTACTTTCCACTCAGTTCTGTTCTCCATTGAAAAACTTTTCCACAGGAGGAGCTCTGAGAAACCTTTGGTAATTTTATATCCTGTATTGACTTGCCAAAAAGGGCATTTGCTCACAAGATTCCCTTCAAGGCTAAGTGTTGAATTCCTGGCATTCCCAGAAGACTTATGTTGAATTGTATGAATTTAGCTCTTTGCCTATGTAACTATGGAAAGCTCTGGATGTTCCAGGGTCTCCCTGCTCTAGTTTGTCCATACTCCATTGCTTAGATTTGCCTATCTAGTGTCTTTGTAATCTGCTGCACTACAGCTTCATGAATCAGTCTGGGCCATAGGTGCCAGAAATAGTTGATGAGTGGCTGCTATGCAGTCAGGGGGCAATTGCATATGTGTAGAGCAAAGGGGAATCTCTCCTGGGCATCATTTGGCCACGAGTGCTGATGAGTGCTTAAACTAAGACAGTTTAAGCCAGAGACAATGCAGGTGAATTGGATGGTCTTCAGAACTTGAAATTCAGTACTACTTTGTGCCCTTATTACTACTAGTAAGTATTTCTCTTGTGAGCTGGGGCTCTCTCTGTATGAATAATGAGCAGGACCATGGCTGGGATGTTGCAGCTTGTGCCTGAGATGGCTGAGCTACCAGTGCTATGTGACTCTGGAAAAGGCAGGTGCAGCTTTTGGCTCATGCCATTTCCAAAGGCACTGAGGAGAAGCGATGTGAAATGCTGTGTACAAGTATGAGCATAGCATTCCTGACAAAGTCCCCCAGTACCTCTTACAGTGATATGAAAGTGGTTCTCACTAAAGATAACTCAGCTGCTATGAGTAAGGACTAGATATGCCTTTTTCAAAAATGGACTGAAACTGGAGAAACTGCCAAGATTTTATGCCCACGTGACCAAGAGAGAAAAATATAGGGAGGGATTAGAATGCTTAGTTTCTTTAAATTGGCAAAATTGGTAATGGGAGGAGTTATGGTGGCTGTCTGTACATGCAAAAGCTTTTAAAAACTGGGGATTATAAGACTTTGTCTTAGCAGATTGGCAGACTAGATTTTTAATAGAGCAGAAGGGATCGTCTGATCTATATAAAATCAAATGAAACAGTTCCATCTGACTCAACTTGAGCAGGTATGTTTGTATTCTCTTTTCAGCAAGGCATCCTGGCAGCCTGCGTAGTAAGACCAGAGCTCAGGGAGCTCCTGATTGCAGCATGTCCCAGCAGGCTGCAGAAGCTAAGTGAGAGCTTGTTTGTGATGTGCTGGTGTTCATATCAAGCAAATTCATCCTTGCTCATTAGCATTCAAGGGAGAAAGGGAAGCTGTCTGTAGGGTGACTTTCTGCATAACCTGTGTTTTTGCCTTGGTCTGAGAAATTCTTTCCCTGACCTTTTAATTGGAGGCAATGTTTTAGATTTAGTATTATTAAAGATGTTTGCTCTTTAGAATATCTTTAGTTTTCTTATTAGTACCCCTTACTCCCCAGTGGCATAAAGAGTACTGTGTTTTGAGAAGAGGACCCAAGAATGGCCCACACAAGAGAAATAAAAGCAAAGCTGAAGTATGTGAGATCGCATTCTACACGAACCTGCCTGTCTTGTTCTAAGATGTGTAGATTTGTCCATCTTGTTGAGCAGTTCCGTTACCTCCAGTGTAGCTCCTGATGATTGTCCTGAGGAGAGAGAATTTGTCATGATCTGTCCTGCCAAAAAACCTGCAACTCATTTCTGGATTTAGGGAGAAATCTTCCTTGCCAGTTGGTGTCAACCTTCAAGTATGTCTCTGCAGAAGGACATAAAACCCAGCAGGACTCCCTTATCACATGGCATTAACTGAGGTGGTGCTGTCATTTTCGATACATTTGACTTCTTGCCTCCAACCCCCATGCTGAGATCTCATGTTCCTTTTTTCCCCAGGGTCATGTCTTACACAGAGTCCCCACTGTGGCTTTGCTCTGCTGGGTCAAGGGAAACACGAGATGACGATTTTTGCCCTTTCCTCTTAATGGTTAAAATTATAGAAGGGGTAAGAAGAGGTCTGTATGGATTTCATCTTTGAGATTGATTTTATAATGACAGGGGGAACAGGGAAAGACAGACCCACTCCAAGGCTTTTGGCTTCCCACACCTTTCAGAAGGGGACAGCAGGATGACATCTCATGCTCTGTATCTGTCCCAGATTGTGGCTGTTTTCTTGTGAAGAGCAAATGCATGATTCAAAGAGTGCCTGGCAAAAGCTTCTTCTAGTTCTGCAGCAGCAGCACGGGAAATATTTCATGTATGTAGAAGATGGAGCATCCCTGTAGACAGTTGTTTTCTGCAACCTTTTGTAAGTTTGGGGAAAAGTTATTAAGTACTGTTTCTATTTCTTTCTTTAAAAAAAGACAGAGAAAAAGCCTGCATTTTCTGCCATTTCCCAAGAGGCTTTTTATCTGTTTAAACCAACTAGGGATTTTTCACATATTGACATAAGCATTCATTTGCTAATTTGCTGGACATTAAACTGCACAGCATTCTTGAATGAGGCTGGAATACTTGGGTACTTAGTGCTGCTCAGACCCCGCATCATTCCCAGTACACATATGGTTTTCCTCCTCTATCTCCTAGATAAAAGTCACTGTTTGATCGCCTTAAGGGAAAGAATGAGTTAAATGGACCAATATTTTAGCCTTGGCTCTAAAACTGGGCCTTTTCAGAAACTCCTCAGCACCTGCAGCAGCTAGGTCATTTGCACATACATAAATAAATAAATTAACAATGAATAAATAATTTAATCCCACCATACAATGCCACCTTGCAGATCTGATCCTTTGCTCCCAGTGAATTTGTCCATTCCTAATTCTTTTTGATAAAGTCCTCAGATACTTGCTGACTGTCAGTCTAATTTTCTTATTGTTTTCGCTTGATTAGTTCTGTATGACCTAAGGTCGCCCTTAAAATCCACATCTCTCGTGAAGACTCCGAAAGGCCTTCTTTTTTTTTCAAAGGGATGGAAAGTGCCTGCCATTTCTCCGGACAAAAGCCTGGAAGGTTTTCAGTTATTAGCCTCCTGAAGCAGCCCTTTCGCTCACCCAAGCGCAAAAAAAACTCATTAGGGGCACCTTTCTTTCTGCCTTCTTCATCTGATGCATGTTGGCTTTACGTGTTTCAAGATTTCCAGGTCTCGGATGGATTTGGCCAGCCTCCCTTTTAACCCTGCTGGACTGTGGTTGTGCCCTGGACAGAGATTGGTTGAACCACCTGGAGATGCTCTATCCTTTCAGCAGCTGTTTTACACCCTCTGTTCTGTTGAGCGCTTCTGCCCGGCACACAGCACTGCCATACCTGTGCCTGCCTGTTAAGAAGAAAAGCATCCCAAAAGTAAACGGGCAGGTATTACAGTAATGCTTGTAGTTCTTGCTTACCTATGATGTTACTGAGGGTATAATTGGTACAGTTGTCCACAAAAGAAAATGTAATTGTAAGGAGAAGTCGCATCAAACTGATAAGTGTTTTCTTTTTCAGAAAGGGGCTGCCTGGTCTCTGATGAAGGATCTCTACTTTGCCTGGGATCTGAGCCTAAAGAGAAGAAATACACAGGAGCAGAAGGAAGATGAACAGGGCGCAAAGAGAGCAGTGCCAGTGGAATTTTTGTGGACAAATACTTTGTGTCTTGCTCCTGCAACGCTGTTTCTCCTTGTCCTGTCCTGACAAGCAGCTGCTTTTCCAGTCCCCTGGGTTAAAAACCTGTTTTGGAGAACTCAGGACTGTAGCTAGGGTCTCAGTTCCAAGCATGTGGAACAACAATTTAATAGCCACTAGTCTTGCTACTGGCTGTTTTCAAGGCGAAGAGAAATTCTCTTTCTTAGTTTGGAATAACATACTGTTGCAACCACTATTTTTTTTTTGCCAGTTCCTCTGAAATCCCCATGATACTGACAATTTACTTCCACTCTTTTTTACCAGTTCCTCTGAAACCTGAGGGAGATCAGCCCTCCATAAAATCAAGACAGCCAAGTGCATAAGGCTGGATCTGTGTGCAAGTCCTTGCAGGTTCCATACTACCAACTCCATTACTCTTTCTATTGACATAAATTCTGACCAGCTGTCAGCTTGAATTTAGGGTAAAATAGTGTGGAAGCTATGTGACAAGGAGAAATTGTGTCAGCATGATACCAGGCAGTCTTGTTTATAACTTTTTGCATCAGTGTCCCTTCCACCCAAACCATTTAGGGGTATTCGAGCTTTCTGAATAAACTTGACACATTGGTTAAAAAGAAGCTTGAAGCTTTAGATGAAATTAACTTCTAGTGTCTCATTCAGAACGCTGTGTACATTCTGTTGAAGAAATCCTGCTAAAAACAAGCTAAAACATTCTGGATGATGCTGTGCCTGGAGCTCTACTCAGTGTCCCACACAGAGAGAAGAGGATTGGCTTCCACTGAAACCAATGGCAAATTTCTCCTCTACTATGTACGTACTTTAAATTCAGGATTTTCTGATTTTGTGTGCAGGTTGTTCATACATGGAGTTCTGAAGCCTTTTGCTTCTTTTTGGCCATGTATAAGAACCTCTTCTAGCAATACATGCAACAAGTACAATAGAAACATCTGTCACAGGGTAAGCAGCCTCTGGGGTACCCTTAAACATTCGTCAGCTGTTTCAGTTTATCAGATTCACGTGCTACACCTTCAGTCTGCATAGCAGATGCACAAGAAGAGATTTTTTTTTTTTTTTTTAGTGAGCAACAAGTCTTGCAGGTGAGACAGAAAAAGGTTTTAGTTGGCAAAGTTGCTGCAAAGTTGCCGAAGAGTGAACTGAACTTCTCATGATGAAACATAGAGAATTATAGCTCTGAAATACCTGTGCAGATAAGTAAGGTTACGTGGCAGGCAGCAGTGAGGGTGGGATTCAGCTGCCCTGATTTTTCCCCTGCCTATATATGTGAATCTGATCTATTGATCCTGCATTCCCTCTTGATTCAAAAGAAGGAAAGAGACATGTTCCAAAGCAAAGCAGCTCATTTTAAGGGAAAGTCTGAAATCAGTCTGATCAATCACCCACTAGAAAGGCCCGTTTTTCCCTCTTGATTAGAAAAAGAGCTTAGAGTGATTAATTCACTCTTACACCTCTACTTTTGAGACGTCTAATGCTTGATTAAAGTCAGCTGCTCACGAGTTATAGTACATCCTTCTATTAGCAAACCACTGAAAGGTTTTTCCTTTACAGTATGACTTTGCCTTATGGCAAAGTAAGCTTTCAAAGAACCTGAATGAAAAAATCCCAATGGTCTCATCCCATCCTTGGTTGTTTTGTTTTTAACCTGGGTAAAGAATTAAACTCGCCAGCATCCTATCTGTGTATTGGTGGACCTACAGGCATGCTATATCCTTACCTTACAATAAGGCAGTTCTGATGAGGTGCTAAATGGGGCTTTGTGCTCTAGAACATAATTGTCATTTTCCCAAAATAATTTATCTTGGTTTTTTTTCTTTTTCTGTTTGCAGTTATGGTGACTGGAAGACTCTCTGAAGAGCCTTTAAGAAGCCCCATGTTGGCAGCTGAACTTCAATCCATCCAAATCTTCACAGCTTCCTGCTAGAAGAGGATGAAATTGACCACATGCCCTCAAAATTCATCTCAATCTGAAAAGGCAAGTTAATTCCAAATCCATTTTGGGAAAAAAAAAAAATTATGACAAACAAAAAGCAAAAAAATAATTTTCAAAACTGCTACAAATTAGAATATTCCTTTGAGAAGAATAACAGCCTTAATATTCTCCCAGTTGCCTATCTTTCTAGCTACGTCACATATTTATTTTTATTTATGTCCCCTGTCTATTGATTGTGGATCATATTCAGTATTGTATGTTGTTTTGTGAAGAGGTGGTAGAAGCTCTTTCTGAGAGCTTAAAGCAAAGCTGAAAATAAGGCAGTTACTGACTGTATGTAACATATGTCATGTGACTAAGAAAACGAGCTCTCTGAGAAGGAGAGGCTAAGTTGCTCTGTGGAGCAGCAGACTGCTTTGAGAAAGTGAAATATTCAAGATGCTTTGATGCTGGGAGCCTCCTCACAACAGAAGAGTGTTCTTTTGGCCTCACAGAGTTAGCTTGAGTCCTGCACATGCATGTAACAGAGTAGATTATTTTGCCTAGTTGTGTCATCTTTTCTTCTTGGGGGAACAGTTCATGCCTTCAGTATAGCAGGCAGTAGGGCCTGCTCTGCAGTTCTTCTGCACATGTGACTTCACTTTCACCATCAGAGTAACTGAGTGTTTAAGACCAAGGTAGGCCATACATGTTTGCAAACACAGGGCTGTGTGGCTCAGTTAGTAAATTGAGCACCAAGAGCCACTGAAATATGGATCACTTACCTGTTGGGTGAGGTCTCTGCTGAGGCAGCTCTGTCATGCCTCCTCCTCATGTAAACAGCCCTAGCTTCAGGGGTTTCCAGAGAGCTTTGTCTACTTGCAGGAGCTAAGGATTTGGTCCAGAATATACACGAGTAGGTAAACAGCTTGTTTTTTGTTCATTTGCTTTAATATAATGACTTTTCTGCAGACAATAATTTGTAACCAACTTAAGCACTGGTACCCTTAAGCCACATTTAATTGGTTTTCATGCATCTTAGCCATCTAACAGGTTTTATTTGGCTTTCCACAACAGAAAATATACTTCTGGTCTTGTTCTTTTTCCAAATACTTCCCCGTCCTTCTCCAGGCATCAAAGAGAATAACAAAACTCCAATAAAAGGTGGAGGTTTTTGTTTTTTTAATCTCTTTCTTCTTTTAAAGAAACAAGAAGGTAATGTATGAATGAAGTGTGTGATGTAAGAAAATTATTATTACATCCTTCTATCAAAAGAGGTTCTATAGTGGAACATGCAGGACTGGTGATTTCCTTAGAACTTTCCAATACACATTTGTGTTGTATATAATGTATGTTGTTTCAGGTTCTCCAAAGGCTTGTGAAAATGTGTAATCTGTGCTTGATGAATCTCACTGATCCCTGATAGATTTCCTCTTTTTGAAAGTGAAGACGTGAGGTTAGTTCTGTAGGTTTTACCATTGTTCTTTCTACAGATCTCAGTCTGAAAACCCAGCGGTGGATTTGGAAGTAAAGGTGAATTGTTCCTGTCCTATATCCTTTGACAGCAAAATTCTGCACGCTAACATTCACTTGCAGCTATCATGATGTCACTGTTGTAAGTCAGTAAGGTTGTACAGGTGGACACTTTAGTTTGGGGGAAAAAATTAACAAAAAGATCCATCCTGTATCTTAGCCATAAAATACTGACCCTTGCAGGCTGATTTCTGTGAATTCATCCTCTGGAATGGCACTAATGCAGCATACGTGGGAAGTTATGAGGCTCCAGCAAACCCACATTTAAGCAAAGAATCAGCGCACTCTACTAGGAAATGCTGAGAAAAACAAAACTGAATCCAACCAAATGGTGGCAGAGGTCCTATATAGGCTTGATGTGTATGTAGGGCCTCCTTTCAGTATCTAAGGGGCTGTAAGGAGGGGGACAGAGTCTTTAGCAGGGTCTGCTGTGACAGGACGAGGGGAAATGGTTTCACACAAAGACAGGAGATTTAGATTGGACTTAAGGAGGAGGTGTTTTACACTAAGGGTGGTGAGGCACTGTCACAGGTTGCCCAGAGAGGTGGTGAATGCCCCATCCCTGGAGACAGCCAAGGTCAGGCTGGAGGGGCTCTGAGCTCCTAATGGAGCTGTAGGTGTCCCTGTTCAGTGCAGGGCAACTGGACCGGATGGCCTTCAAAGGTTCGTTAAACTCAGGTGATTCTAGGATTCTGTGGTACTGCTGTTCATTTGTGCGGTACCCCAAGCACACGCATGTCCAGGAGAGAAGTATGCTGGTGTGAGGGCAGCAGTCCTCCCTCCCTCTTCCCTGGATGGAGAAAGTACCCCGACACTGTCACTGTCTGGAGCTCTACTTCATGCTCACAATTCAAAATTGGAAGTCTGCTATTTGATGTCTTAATCACCTTATGCCTCTCAGAGGGCTAACCAGGGTACACCATTTTGTTTGAATTCAACAGAAGTGGCTTCAGAGGGACAGAGTGATTATGAACATGGTCTCCCAAAGAAGACCCAGGTTTTAGCCTCAAAGACTTCAAGCCTGAGACTTCAGCTTCCTAGAAGAATGCCTAAGCCTAGGGTTAGGGATAAGGAGCCACAGGCTGCTGAGCCACTGAAGGCACTTCCTGCCATAAGGTTGGCTGGGAGGGCTTGGGTTGAGCTGCATCCTCCTCTAAATGCTTGCACCCTTCAAGGGCTGACAATGTGGGTGTGCATTGAGGCTCACAGCTGAGCTCAGAGCCAGTGGACTGAGAGTCTCCAAACGCAGGACTGCATTGTGAGTGGGTGTAACTCCTCTCACAGGCCCTGGGTGCAGCCCTCAGGCTCCACAACGTTCACCAAACATGTAATGGCTAAGTTGTGGATCCCATCACGCATTCCCTGTTCCCTTGCAGGATGCCCTCAGTAAGGAAGGCTTTTATTATTATTATTACATTACTCATTTCCTAGAAGAGGACTGCACTTTTAAGTATGTATTAGTTATTAAAAATTAAATCGCCTTTAAACTTTTATGGCTTATCTCTGAAACTTCAAATTTTTTTCTAGAGAGAGTATTTATTTCATCCCAGTTAACTGCGTTACTGTTGCTGAGATATACTGCACGTTTCCATCGCTGTAGTGTAAAGATGAATGTTAAAAATACATTCAACGGGATTTGGTATTCTGAGTTGGAATCTCCTAAGTTACTCCTCTTTCCTCACGTTTGATGTATGTGATGTTGCTGTCTCTCACCTTTTTTATGAGTTTTGGTTTAATGTGCCACTGTGTGGCATATGGGTAGATATCAGAGCTTTAACCTGTGTGTGTATTAAAATGCAGTTCTTTTTGCTAGAAATAAATGTGATGATGTCAGAGGGGATGGATGCAGCAGGCACATCTGTGAGCTCCACTTCTTGCAGCTCCTCTTCAGCAGACACACACCTGTCAGCTTGGGAGGGCTCCTTCCCACAGACCATCTCTGCAGAGGAGTTGCTGGTAAGTGCACAGCTGCTCCAGTACTAATGAGCTGTCTCCAAATGAAGCAGCAGAGAAAGAAGCTGCTGTGGGTAGGGAGGGCTTTGCACCCAGGTGCCACAGACCCTGTGCTCTCCTGGTGTGAGCAGTGTGATCCTGGTGGAATCACAGAGCCACAGAATGGCAGGGTTTGGAAGGGACCGCAAGCGATCGTCAGGTCCAACCTCCCTGCTAAAGCAGTTCCCTACAGAAGGTGACACAGGTAGGCATCCTCTGTGCTTTAGGGGAGCAGAAGTGGTGGCATCCCATGGAGCAGAGACACCAGGAGTCACAGACCGACCGGAGCTGTGCTGCTGTGGGACGAGGGGTCATAGTGCTACCAAAGTCAAATAAAAGGAACCTTGCCATCAGCTGACAAGTTATCTTGAAATTACTCTGCTTGCTTCAATTTAGGGGCTGTACCCTGTTGCACGGGCTCTGTGTCTGAGGGTGGGAAGCACACAGTGTGGTACTGAAGCCGTGGCTGTGCATGAGGTGTGCTGCAAAGTCAGGGGAAGAAGGAAGCGCTCTGCTCTGTGCTGTGGGCACGCTCAGCTCACAAACCTGCTCTTCACAGTGAAGTAAGCATGGCACGGGAACATTCTTGCTGGTTCTGGGCCTGTTCAGAATGTAAACTCTGAATGTAGAGTGGATGGATGCAAGCTGCTTGTGTGTCTCTGTGACCTAACTGGTGATGGTTTATTCCCACAATAGCTCAAATAAATCCTTCTGATAAATCGGTGAGTTGGAGACGTTTTCAGTAACGCAACGTTGCGGAGATGAGTGTAACCTCACCTACTGCCCAGGTGAGTGACAGCTGCTTCAGCGTGAGGTGCAGAGCACCCGGGGCTGCGGGCAGAGGTGAGCCCAGCGGCGGTGTGGGGCCGAGGGGCGCGTGTGCGGGTCTGCGGGAGGCTTATCGCCGGGTCATTGTGCAGCCGGAGGGGTTTATCCTCCGCGGCCAAATGAAAACGGAGAGGACAAAAAAAAACATCCCGGATAGCAACATTCGAGATACAAAGACTGTCACGGGCCAGTGCTAGTTGGCAAAATTGTATGTAAATGACGGCAGTTTTGTCCGTGGTGGCCCTCTGCTAATCCTAGAGAGAAAATCTACTTAGCCGGGGAAGTTCTGTCTGATTTGGTTAACAGTGCCCGAAATGAATCTATTAATAATTTATACGTCCAGGGAAACACTGTATCTTTAATGCTACAATGCCAAAGGGGAAGAAGGGGGTCATACACCCGCTCAACGCTCGGAGCACAACTCTCGCGGGGTCCCGTTAGCACCGCGAGGGCGCCCGGGGCTGCGGGCCGGAGCTGTTCCCGCACGGCCCTTCCCTTCCTTTGCGGCGGCACTTCGGACGGGAGGCACGCGCTGCGCACGGCGCGTTGCGGCGGCGAACTGTCCGTCTGTCCGTCAGCCCGTTTGGCTGCGCGCAGAAGCGCGGAGGACGGTTCACGGACGGCGGTCATCCCGCGGCGCGCCCGGCTCGCAGCCCCGCACCGGGACGCGGGGGGGGGCACGCGGGGGCTCGGCTCTGCGCCGGCCCGC